AGAAGAAATGTTTTTACTGATATTGCTTAGACAAGATATCATGTCTACATCTTGTCCTCTGAATAACTATTATGAAAACAATAACATGCAATTTATTAATTTTTGTAACTGTACTGTTAACCTGTTTTGAAGCTGTTTCATCGGTATTTTCTTTTCGCATTAAAATGAGTAAGAAATAAAAAATAAAAACTTTTGATTGGTACATACCTTCTATCTTGTAATTGTCACTGGCTTTCAATTTCAAACATAACTATTTCATCCACATGATACATAATCTACTATTTTAAAATTTTCAGTTTAAAAAGTTAAAAAAAGAATATTTTGTCATGTTATTAAAGTCTTGCCATAAAAAAGTACATAGTCAATAGTAAATGTTTTCTATAGTAAGGAGATTTCTCAAAAAAATTAAAAACAAATTGGGCATGGCAGATTTACCTATGACCCTAGCTACCTGGGCGGCTGAGGCAGGAGAATAACCTGAGGCCAGGAGTTTTCGGAACAATGAGACACAGAAATCATTTCTCAAAAAGTTAAAAATAGGGCAACCACATGGACCAGCAATTACAATCCTGGGATGTTATGGTTTGTATCTAGTTGTGTCTGTGCCTGGTATATTTTACTTAATTATCTACAGTTATATCAGTGTGGTTCAAAATGACAGGATTTCATTCTTCAGTATTGGTGAGTAGGGTTCCATTGTTTGTATGCCTCAATGTTCTTTATCCTTTCGTCAGTTGATGAACGCATAGGTTGTTTCCATTTCTTGGCCATTGTGACTAGTACTCCAGTGAACATAAAGTTCAACGATGAGGTGGGCTTATAGAGTTTGTGATTGATTCATGGCCTAGTGTTGGGATTATAGGTGTGTGGGCTACACCCTCCCTGGGGTAGTTTACATGCATACAACATAAAAGAAAGAGTCTCTCTCTCTCTCTCTCTCTCTCTCTCTCTCTCTCCCCTCTCTCTCTCCCTCCCCTTCCTTTTTGCTCCTGATGTTTTTCCTGTTTTCCACTACTATGAACTATTGCCCTCTGCCATGTGCCACTCTGCCTTAGAGCCAGCAGAGTACAGACTGAAATAAATTGTGAGCTAAATAAACCTTTCCTCCTTTAACCCTGGGTGTTGGGTAGTTTGCTCAACAATGAGAGAAAAGTAACTGAGACAAAAGGAATATAACTAAAGGAAGGGAAATCACTATGTCAAAGAGCTGTCTGCACTTTACGTTCATTGGAGCACTAGTCACAATAGCCAAGAAGTGGAAACAACCAATGTGTTCACCAACTGATGAATGGATGACCATGTGAGGTATATAAACAGTGGAACCCTACTCAGCCATACCAAAGAATGAAATCCTGTCATTTTGAACCACATTGATACATAACTGTAGATTGCAGGCACCAAAATTCAAAATCGTATCTGTATTTCACAAAAATGCCCTAAGTATGTCCATTACATTACACAGTGTATTTAATTATCTAGATTCAGATTAGACACAACCACATCTGTTCAATATCAAGTGTCCATATTATTCATGCCTTATGCATGGACTCTGGTTATTTGGCAATAAATCTCACGTTT